TACTACTACTAGTACTAGTACTTGTACTAGTACTAGTACTAGCACTAGTACTACTACTGCTTCTACCGCCGCCACCACCACCACAACCACCACCACCACCACCACCACCACCACCACCACCACCACCACCACTACTGCAGCGGTAGCAGTGCTACGGCCACTGCTGCTGCTGCTGCTGCTGCCGTGCAGTTGGCAACACCCACATCAACAGTACTGGCAGCTAACTTCCCTTTGATTACGTACAACAAGACTGACGCCAGCAAACATCATGAGTCGGAAGGGAGGGACAAAGTACTGACACAAAGTTCAGCGGTGCAGTAGAGATGTTCCTTCCCAAGCAACCCTACCACTCATTCCAAGCATGTCCTACCGATCTCTACTGCCCTAAACCCTAAGCCCTGAACCGTGCCCGCCAAGGCGCGGATTTGGAGCCGTGTAGCGCCTTTCGGACTGCACCAGGACGCGGGGTGCACCAGGAGCGGGCACCTTGCACGTAAGTTCTACCGTCACCACGAGGGCGACAGTTCCGATGATGACAATGATGGTGATGATGCAGCTGTTGGTGATTGTGACGTTCGCTGAGAAGTGAATGATGATGATGCCGGCGGATGAACGTTCTTGTCGCGAAAGTGGTTCTGATTATAGTAAAGGTTCTGTCCGAGCAGAGTCAAATAACGGCAGCTAGGGTCCTGTCTACTTCCCAAGTCATATGATTGCAAAGTAATATGAATAAGTCTGCTGCACATTTTGTCATGTGATTCTGGCAACCTCAATCGTACCAATGTGGAGAACTTAATAATTAGAATAGGGTTGTGGGTCTTGGGGTGCATTATAGTTGTCATTTTATAACTATCTGCCGATTGCAAAATTCCAACCCCTAAGCAGTGGGAATAATTAGAATAGGGTGGTAATTATGTACCCGCAATATGGGAGTTTCCGATAATTGGGGACCCCAATATACTACCCGAAATAGTAGGACTCTTATTATAAGGATCCCGAAATAAGGTACCCCTAATTTTCGGAAGATCCCATATAGAACCCTGAACCCTAAACCCTAGGTATGACCGCCTTGGAGCTCTTCGATTCATGCCTCAATGTCTGTGCGGAAGTAGGATAGGGTTTAGGGTTTGGGATTTTCCCGGCATTCTACACTGCCCACACCCTAATGTAGGGGCCTTAATAATTAGAATAGGGTTTTGGGAATCATAGTATAATTATACCCCAAACCCTATTCTAATTATTAAGGCCCCTATATTCAACGAACTGTTTTGCTTACTGCTCGTAGTTGTCGAAGCTGTGCTTCAAAGGCCCTGCTGTCACCACGGCAAAGGGCACCGCCCCGGGTCAAGACGGAGCCATCCCCCAGAACTGCAGCAAAGGCGTCTGGGGTTCAGGGGTTTAGGATGCGTAACACTGGGGCCCCCTAAAACCTGAAGTTCTCAATTCTGACCTGGAATAACAGACAGGCACAGCCCCCCTTCAACCCCAGGCACGCCAAATCTCCTTTTGTGCTCTTAGACAGAATAAGGGAACGCTCTTACAGTCTGCCGGGAAGCTAGAACTGCCATTTGGCCAAGATTGTCGAACAGTCTTGCAATCTTGGTCTCGCCGACTAGCAAGATTGCGACCAAGATTACCACGCAATCTTGCAATCTTGGTCTCCAGAAGGTAAACAAGTCGGCGAGCAAATGGGGCAGGGGCAAGATGACCAAGATTGCCAAGATTGCTTGCAATCTTGCCCTCCCCCCCGCCTGTACTATCACTAATTCTTCCGACCCCAATTCTAAACCCTAAATACATCTTCCACAGTGCTGAGAAAATGACGGCACAGCGAAGCCAGCGTTGCGATATCGCCGGTCCCCAGCGCCAGAGCCGTGGGCGCCTTGTTTGGTAACACAGGGGGGTTTACTTGGAGGGTCGGGGGACTTAGTAACTAGTTATCATTATAGACCTATAAGTACCATAACACCAATGAGGATCTCTTTTAGGGTACTTATAATTCTACTTCTTATCTACTTACTAAGTCCCCCGACCCTCCAAGTAGGGTTTCGGGCTCAATGCTCCGCATACGGTTTTGGGATCAAACCTACTATAGTTATCAAAAGGAACACTAAGGAACACTGTTAGATTCTTTTCCGGCTTCTACAGTATATGCTTGGATTTGGGATCGAGCCTCTTTTGCGAATCATACTACCATGGTTATCGGGTATCGTACAGGGTCTTTACAAACCTTGAATTAGTTAAATTTTTTGCATGGTATTAGTGGAATTCTTCGATAGGTCATTCCCAAACGGACGTTACCATGGACGTTGATCCGTGCTGTGGCCGCATGCTGTCAGGCTTGAGGTTCTCGCGAGTTCAACAAGGAATGTTTGGATCAGGCTACAATGGCTCCAAACTGTGCCAATCTGAACTCATGCAGTTTCGGAAGATAGCTTTAGCAGGTGTTCCCAGCAAACGAAAACCGACGAAGCAATCAAGTCCAGAAGTCCATAACCCAGAGTTCCAGCACCCCATACTTTAGGGTTTAGGGTCGGGTTTTGGGGATATAACTATCCCCAAAACCCTATTCTAATTGTTAAGGCCCCTATATTATCCTTACCCTTCGACCGGCAAGCTCCGAACGTCCAGCCCGACATCGATTCACTCGCGCAGGTGCGCAACGTGGAGGATGCATGCTGAACCCGAATAACGGCTCACCCGACATCCAACCGCATTTCCTAGGTCCTAGAGGGTTTCGGGTCTAGTGTTTAGGGTTTAGGGCCTTCAAGCTCAAACCTTTCCCGAACCAAGTCTGTTTGCTCGCACCTGCGCAGAGCCCAAGTGGCAAAACAGGATGCTCGGCATCCCGGGCAGGGAGTGAGGGACGGAGCAAGCTCAGCACCTAAAGCATCTTCCAAACAAGGCTGCCTTTCGGGGTTGAGTGACACACGTGTTTAGGGTTTAGGGTTTAGGGTTGTCCAGGGAAGTTCAGATGTTCTGTCCCGATCGCAGTAGCACAGATGCCTACCTCCCAAGGTTTGACAGCGACAACATCCACATATTGATGTTCCGGCCGGCTTCGGAAGTTTAGATCCAGCGATGCTCTCCAAACCGAGCTCAGGAAATGCTGAAACAGCAGTAAGATAGAAAGGGAAGGAGAGCATCTGGAATCCTTTTGGTTGGTAGGGCGCTGTCAGAATGCGCTGCTGCTCTTCCAAGGGCACCGAAGGGGCGAAGGCAGCGAAGTTGCCTCAGCTGTGGCAAAAATGAGACGAAGCCACGACTTCGAAGAGAGAACCGCATCATGCGCTCTCCGTACCGCCTGACAAATCCAAGCCGTCATCCCCGTCATCCTACATGCCGACATTTTCCGCACCTAGGTGTTCCCCACTCCTGAATATGTCCGTGTACCGGTCTCTTGAATTTGTGCTCGTCGAGGCACTGCGTGGCTCCAGCCGGAGGCCATCCCCTGTAAGGCACCGTGGGGCGTGCACCCAACGCGGCTCCTGCAAATTGGAGGTGCGTTCATTCGTCCTGTGGCCGCCTGAAACCCAAAACCCTAAACCCTGCCCCAAATATGCAGCAGCTAACCCGACTAAGGATGGGTTTTAAGGTTTAGGGCTTAGACCCTAAACCCTAAACCCTAAACCCTAAATTTTGACCTGCTTCAAAGCATGCGGAACTGCAGTCCCACGTCGGCCTCGGATAAGGAGACCGTTGGCACATAGCCTGTGCAGACAGGCAGGGTGTTCATCATCAAGTTCCCCTAAACCTTGGGTACCGCCCCCACTCAGTAACAGTTGGATAATATTTATATTATGGATATACCAGGGCCTTAATAGTAGCCCTATTATAGACTGCTACTGTATGGGGGCAGTACCCAACCTAAACCCTAAACCCCAAAC